AATGCTTGTTCGGTGGCAAGGGGTGGGTGGCTCCTGCTGTGAGCGCCGTAACCCTTTACAAGAGCTCCCAGCCGTGCCTCTTTTCCTCCTGCGGTGCGGCGCCGTTTCTGATCACCGGTGACCAGGAACGAAGGTAGAAATGGAATAGCTGAGGGTAGGATCATCATCACCCCACCCGCTGCCCGGAACTGTTTCACCTAAAGCTTCTCACCGATGGCCTCTAAGCCCAGGGAGATGAGTCTGTGTTTGGGCGGGAGAAAGTGCAGGCGCAGCGGTGAGAGGAGCCGGTCCTCTACTGCAGCACTACGTGACTAAAAGTAGGGTTTCAGGCTCCGGGGCCAGTCACCAGTCGGACCGGCAGCGTCCATTGGAATGCCAGCCGCTAGGGAACGGGAGAACAGAGGCTGGCCTTGGATTTCTGTAAGACGCTGAGCGTGGTCTTCTCCCTGCAGCTGGATAGATCGACCCGCGAGATTGAGCTGGGCCTGGAGTACGGCATCCCCACCATGAACCTCGCTGGACAGAGCCTCAAGTTTGAAAATGGCCAGTGGGTGGCAGGTAGGGTGCAGCTGAGCTTGCTTCCGTCCGAAGCAGCCACGGTTGGCTGACAGTCCGTATTGTGACCTCTTTCTTTCCTTCCAGAATCAGGAAGCTTCACGGGGGATCGCAGGGAAATGCAGCGCTTGCGCAAACGAAACCAGCAGCTAGAGGAAGAAAACAACCTCCTTCGGCTGAAAGTGGACATTCTGCTGGACATGGTGAGTCCTTGCCAAACTGTCACCTGCCCGTAGCAGCGGAAACGCCTGGGCGAAGGGTGTTGGGACCGCCAAAGGAGGCCGTTCTCGCCGTGCCCCGCTCTTTCTGCTTTTACCCCGCTACGCAAGACAACTTCTAACGGCACCGTGACCGTGGGAGTAAAGTCTGATCTCCTCTGCGAGAAGAGGGGAAGGTTCCCCCCGCAGCAGAGCTTGACTTCCGTCAACACTGTGACTGATTAGAGAGGAGCCCCTGCGAGTGCCGTGTCTCCTCCTTCCCTTTCTGCATGGAGCACGCCATTTTCTTGCCCCTCTGGCCTCTTCCCTAGCTGTGAAACCGAGTTACAGCCACCCTCTCCGGTCACAGAGGATTAAAGCTTCCGTCTGCTGTGAGAAGTGGCGTGACGTCTATCCTATGTGTAAACCTATGGGTGGAAGAATTCCCAAGCCCTAAATAAACCGAAACTCAACCTTACCCGGAGATCACAGCTCTCGTGCTTAAAATCGGGAGACGTTTTCAGTGACGTAGAATACATGTGCGTTCTCAGTCCATTAAGTGATTTAGCCTTCGCGTCAGTCCAAACAAACGCACGCTCCCCTCATCGTTTTCCTTCCT